GGGGTGAAGGGTACAAGGACGGGCGGTGGGCTGGGGAGGGAGGGAGTGAAGAACGACCAAGAAAACGAGGGGCATAAGGGGCCAGGGCAGGGGTCTCTAAGTTTTCCTCGAAGCCTCCGTAATGACCCCCTCTCGCCCCCTTTCGCCCTGGGAGAGGGGAAGTGGAGGCTGAGGAACTCTCTCTCGTGTTTTCGGCTAATTCCCGAATAACTTTCCTAATAAAACATGACTTTCGTTACGGAGCAACTTTTTGTGCTTGCACGGCAAAGTCTGGCGAGGAGACTTTAGCAGTCTTCCCGGCTGCCTGACTGCCTAGCTATGCGTGGATGCTCCAGAAGCTGCCATCCTCTGGACCATTTCTCTCTCTAGATCGTCGCTCAGACTCTCTCCCTGTTTTACGGAAGCTCAACCGACGGTTGTCCAACATTGATATTTTTTTTTTGGATTCTCGACCTTTTTTTCCAAAGTTTCATATCTTCCGATATCCCGTACCGGTGCATATAATAGGGAGCAGGTCGAACATTACTCAGACGTAATATCTGCCTCCAGCAGACAGAGCTGTAAGGATCGACCATTGTGGCTGATAACAACCTATCATTAGAGACGGTCTAGCAGTCGGCGGCTATTCGTAATATCGCATGCGAGACAGAATAGCATGCTGAGTGTGGTAACTGCCCAGTGGGGGTGTTGGTTTATATTGTTGGGGATGGTCGGGGATCGTGTGGCTCAGGATGGATACTGGGTCTACCGATTGGACGAAGAGGGCACCCATTGACCCAGGCTGAAACCTTCATCCGTGGTAGCATTGTTCAATCACTGCTTCGTTTCATGCGTCATTCAGCAAACGCACTGGCTGAAGCTACGAGCTTGGAAAGAAATGTACCTATGGACACATTGTTTACTGGACAAAGAGGAATTATAATTGTATTTTAAGGTTAGGTTGCATCGCGAACACAGAGAGACGGAGAATCGCGTGGCAACGGCACACGGGTATTGATCGTCCCACCAGCCACAGATACACCAGAGCACCCC